GTATAACTACCGCGGTGTGCAGAATGTCACGTACACAAGTTATTGGGTGTTCTTTGATTGCGGTAGCTGCACCGCACTCCTAGCGCAATAAGTGCAATCCATGCAGCTACTGTATTAGCCGAACTTTTGGTCTCGTGGCATTAACTACTACTACTAGTACTACTACTACTACTACTACTACTACTACTACTACTACTAATAATAATAATAATAATAATAACAACTCAACACATCCCAAAACATGAACTTTCAGATTTGACGTTGGCTTTAACAAAAATCAAAATTGCGATGGCTATTTAGGCAGGAAATCGAATCTAGTGAGTACTTCTCCATTGAAAAGATGTTGACGTGCACATGTTGCACATGCTTGACATAGGCCTGTTACCAGCAATTAGAAAAAGAACTACTACCGGTACATGTAGCACCATCTATATGACCTGTCTTACATGTATGTCGAAATAATCTGATAATAATAAAGAGACTTATTAACCTATCATATAATAAAAAAGCATTTTAATAGAATCTGGCACAATACAACCAGGTTACTTCACGGTACTGATCATGATTTCCTTATATATTTTAAACAATATAGATGTAATTAACTTACCTAAAGCACTGCTTGTGTCCAGAAATCTGAATCAATTGAAGTCGCCTCCTTGAAACATGATTGAACAGTGGACTAGTAGGGTTAGTGATCAGCTAAATTATTTAACCTTATCTGGTCTCTGCGGGTTTTTTTTCTTACCTTTTAAAACCACCTGTCTTATCTCTTACTTACTTAGTAGTTGGTATATTGACTCATTGTGTTCTTTGATACATGCGTCAGCTATAAATATCACCGTTGAGGTAAAGCTTATATAAAATCATTAACTGGATACAAATTTAGACATTTTGTATTATACTGTTTTCCTTGGGTAATTTTTCCACAGTTTGCGTAGTCCATCAGCAGTGCATTTTAACTGAATCGCTCAGCCTACAACTATTAACGGGATAACAGCTGTTTGTTTTAACCAAATTGAATTTACTTTTCTGACAGTGTTTGCCTATTAGGTGAATTAGTTGCTGATCCTTTGGTCCAGCCATCTCGAAAAGTACCTGGACGGAATGTCGGCCTGGACAGAATTTCTGCCGTCGGCGGAAGGTCGCCCCCCCCCC